AAACCCTAAAACAAACCCTAAAACAAACCCTAAAACAAACCCCTAAACCTAATCCTAACCCTTACCTTTAGCTTTCTGCCGCGGCGCCGTTTTAAAGCACCCTTCTGTTGCCGCGCTGTTGTCGCGGCGGTGATGACGTCGCGGCTTTAGTGCCGCGATTTTATCACCGTGATTTTGACGAGCGCGGTTTTGTCGTGCCACGGGTACATTACCTGGAACCTTGACAGTAGAGACATCTGCTCAAGACGGTAGAACTAGAAGTCTTCTTGAAAAGTCAACTTCGACCGAATAGTCTTCCCTGGAATAGACATGCCACAAAACCCTGCATTCCTGGGTCATTTATCCGTATCCATTGGTCATGGCCCAATCTTCTATCTGTATTCTAGAATGAGGGTTCTGGAGCAAGTTGATGCTTGGGTATACTTCCTTGCAGGAAGAGGTAGTGGTGTGTAACATCAGTGGTAAATGATTGTGTGTGCGCAGCTTGGCGGTGGCTGCCATCCCCGAAGGCCTGCCCATCGTCGTCACGGTGACGCTAGTACTGGGCGTCTTGAGAATGGCCAAGAAGCAAGTCATCGTGAAGAAGTTGCCCATAGTGGAAACTCTAGGTGAGTCGGAACAATCCCATGTGGTGGGTAAAACTGGTAATAATAGGGAATATCCTGCAATTGAATTTACTAGCACCCAGGTTAATTCAACTGTGACAGTTTCTATTATTTTAATTAAGGTGATTCCATGAGCGCTGATATTAATTTTAAAGTTTGCCCTTCGTCTTCCGGGTTCTCCCCATTACGAATAGAACTGTACGTAGCTATTTTTGAAAGCAGTATTCGTTTAAAATTATCAGATTGGCTTGAATTTCTGTGGTGGGATATGTTAAAATACTTCTTGGTAGTATATGGAGCAAATTTTTCATTTGCAAAAACACTAAAGAGCTTTAAAGTTTGGCAATACATTTCTTCAGAGACTTGCATTTGCAAAGGGATGGATACGCCAATAAAGAATCTGAAAAAGGAGAAATGTTCAGATTTAATTTTTTCCTTCATAGTTAATTGAAGGAATGTATTTTAAATGCATGAGCAGCACTCACATATTTTAAAAATTGCACACTTCTTTCTCGCTTCCTTGATTTTTCTTCTTTCATTTAATCCTTCTCGCTTCCTTCACTCCCCCTGTTCCTTCTGTTTCCTTCCTTCCTTCCTTCCTTCCATCCTTCCCCAGTAAAAGAGGTTAAATGCAGCGTTTTCTGTAATCCCCAAGACTGTTTGGAGAGCATAATTTGAAGAATGATCACTGGATTTCAGGAACGCTGAAGAGAACATAATTTAAAAAATCTCTAGGAGGGTACATATCTAATATTAAAAGCCTGGAATGGCCATCTGTTAGACATTTACAGGAGGGGGGGGGACTACCATAAGAAGCAAATGAAAATAGACAATACAATGAGTGCTCCTGACCAGAGGACATTAATTCCAGGTACAGAGAAGAATTAGTGATTCCTCCTCATGATTTAGACCCGAGAAGATATCTTTTATTAGTTCAAGCAGTCTGCAAATTGCAAACGATATAGGTTTTCCTGGAGATAATAACCCTTCAGAATCACGTTGGGAGAAGGTTAGATGAAGGCGATAAAATTAATAACATTTTCTAGCACAAGAGGGAATTGATGGCTGCTGGCTTAGTGGTTTTTAAATGGGGGCAGACATATAGGATAAATCTTTTAGGTGGCCTCTGATATGAGGGGGCCATCTTTTCTGGTGGGTCTCCTGAAGTTTACCGACATTGCCACTCTAAGACAGAAAATAGAATAGAATAGAATAGGAATAGAATAGGAATAGAATAGAAATAGAATAGAAATAGAATAGAANCTTCAACTCCCAGAGTTCCTTAGCCAACATGAGGAATGATGGCCCCTTTATGACTTGTGGACTTCAACTCCCAGAATTCCTTAGCCAGCATGGGACCTGATGTCCACAAGTCATAAAAGGCCCATCGTTCCCCAACCCTGCTAGAGCCATTCCTGAAGCCAACAGCCATACGGGCTTCTGCTCAAGTCTAAAGGATGGATCATAAAGACCAGACCTGGCTAGAGTGCCCTTGAGAGACAATGCTATCATTGTCTAGGAGGGCTCTTCTATGGTTCAGACCCACCTGGAAACACAGCCAAGCTATTCTGTTTGGTTGCCGTGTTTCTTTCCTTTGACGCTGAAGGTTCTGAGTTCTGAAAAGAGGTTCTGTGAAAAAGCAACAATGTCGAAATGCTTCTTCAAATGCCTCAAGTGCTTGTTCTTCTTCTTCAATGTCCTTTTGTTTCTGGTGGGAGGTGCAATGTTCAGCATAGGCCTCTGGATTTTGATCACCAAGAGCGCCTACGTTTCCCTCCTGCAGTCTGTTTTCGACTCCTTCCAAGGCCTGCTGTACATCTTCATCGCAGTGGGCGCTCTCGCCATGTTTCTCGGCTTATGGGGCAGCCTCGGACTCTACTTTGGAGTAAAATTCGCTCTGATCGCCTACATCCCGCTCCTGATCGTCATTGTCATCTTCCACTTTTTCCCTGGCTTGTTTATCAAACAGCAAAAGACGGAAGACAACCTCAACAAGAATGTCCTCAGCCTCATCCACAACTATAACCCAATGGACCAAGCCAACCAGCACAAAGAGATAGCTTTGGATTATGTCCAGGTCAAACTGGCTTGTTGTGGCTGGACCGGGCCGGAAAATTGGAAAAACAACACCTTTTTCCAGGAAAAAATGGGAACCTACCCATGTTCTTGCAGCGACCACCCAGCCAGCTTCCAACCGGCGCTGGGCGTCTGCCGGTTGAACACCGTTTCCCCTAAATCTGTGGCGAGCGACTGGCCTGTGAAAAAACAGGGATGCCGTACGCTTGTGCAAAAGTGGTTCAAGAAAGTGGCGGACGCCCTTTTCCTCGTGTCCTTCGTCGTGATCGCCTTCGAGATTCTGGGAATTGGTCTTGCGTTTTACATTTGCGCAGGCCGGAACGTGTATGCTGTAGGCCACGGCTGAATCTCCCAAGTGGAAGGCCGCCGCCGCGGTTAAAGGGACCGCTCCCTTTAAGGGAAAAGAACAAAATCCCTTTTTTTCCAGGTTGTTTCCCTCAGGTTGTTAAAGAGACATCTTGGCCTGGCTGGTAGCGGATGCGTTGAACTCAAGCCAGTTTTGAGCCTCCAGAGGTTCAAATGAAATCCCCAGTTTCTCTCACCCTTCAGCATTCTGGTTTGCACTTCTGAGGGCTGAATTCTCCTCAGAAAAGAGGAGTACCAGGATCCCTATAGCGTATCTTAAAGATTTCCAACCCTGGCCAATCTCCTCAACATTTGCCCAGTCAGCATTATCCACCTTTAGTTATATGAGACTTTGAAACATTAACATCAGCTCTGAGCTACCTGATCTAATTTCTCAA